GGAGGAGAGAAGCCGCAGCCGGCGCCGCCGCCGGAGAGAGAGAACTCGGAGCGCGGGGCGAAGGAGCGTAGAGGTCGGGCGGCCAGGCGGGCGGCGGGAGGCTCCGCCGGGCCAGCGGCGCCGACTCCGTTCCACTCTCGGCTCGGATCCAGGCCTCCGGGTTCCCAGGCGCTCGCCGCCCTCTGACGCACTTTAAAGAGTCTCCCCCCCTTCCACCTCAGGGCGAGTAATAGCGACCAATCATCAAGCCATTTACCAGGCTTCGGAGGAAGCTGTTTATGTGATCCCCGCACTAATTAGGCTCATGAACTAACAAATCGTTTGCACAACTTGTGAAGAAGCGAACACTTCCATGGATTGTCCTTGGACTTAGGGCGCCCTGCCCGCCTTTTGCAGAGGAGAGAAAACTTTTTTTTGCCTCCCCCGAGAAACTTTGCCCCCCCTTCTGCCTCTAACTCTGAGCCCCCCCCCCCCCACGGCATCTCGAAAAAAAATTTTACCCCAATCCACGCCTGCAAATTCTTCTGGAAGGATTTTCCCCCCTCTCTCCAGGTTGGGCGCATTTGGTGCAAGATTCTCGGGATCTTCGGCGTTGCCTCTTTCCCCCTCCCCCTCCTCTCCTTTTTCCTTTCCTTTCTTTCCTCCCCCCACCCCCACCCCAAACAAACGAGTCCCCAATTCTCGCCGGTCCTCGCCGTGGGCAGCGGGCGGCGGAGGCAGCGCGCCGCGGTTGCCGGAGCAGGGAGCCCGGGCGCCGCTCCTCGGCGCAGCATGTTCCAGCCGGCGCCCAAGCGCTGCTTCACCATCGAGTCGCTGGTGGCCAAGGACAGTCCCCTGCCCGCCTCGCGCTCCGAGGACCCCATCCGTCCCGCGGCACTTAGCTACGCCAACTCCAGCCCCATAAATCCGTTCCTCAACGGCTTCCACTCCGCCGCCGCCGCCGCGGCCGCCGCGGGCAGGGGCGTCTACTCCAACCCGGACTTGGTGTTCGCCGAGGCGGTCTCGCACCCGCCCAACCCAGCGGTGCCCGTGCACCCGGTGCCGCCGCCGCACGCCCTGGCCGCCCACCCCCTGCCCTCCTCGCACTCGCCACACCCCCTCTTCGCCTCGCAGCAGCGGGACCCGTCCACCTTTTACCCCTGGCTCATCCACCGCTACCGATATCTGGGCCATCGCTTCCAAGGTACGTGCCACGTCGGGGGACCGCCGAGCGGCGCTCCCGCCGCACCCTACTCTGCGCCTGGCCTGCTCGCTGGGCGCCTGCAAGGCCTGGGCGGAGGTTCCTCGGACTCGCGGGGCCGCGCGCCTGGTTCGGAGCTGGGCAGCCGGGGGCGGGCGTGGTGTGGAGCCTCACTCACTCTCTGAAGCTACAGCAGGTTTGGGAGCGGGGCCTCCGGCCGACCGACCTTTGGGGAGGGGGCGTGGGTCAAGTTGTTCCCGAGTGCGCTCTGGTCGGGCAGCCGGGGACAGCCACTCTGCGTGTCCGCCAACAGGAGCCCCAGAGCCCACGGGGTCCCCAGACGCGCGGCCCCCTCGGCGTTGTCCAGGACACCAGCTCAGAGAGGAGGGACAGGCCTGACCGCCAGGCTCCCCTCCGATGTGCTCGACTCTTTGGCCACCCACTCCACGCCCCTTCAGCCCGAACCGCGACTTCTCCTTCTTTGACCCTTTTACTGAGGCCGGGGTACTATCGTGACCCTCAAATATCCCCTCCCGCTTTTTGGAGGCCTGGAGAGGGGTGGGAAGCGGAGGGGTAAAAACCTCCTGGGCTCGGTGCTCCGCGACCTGCTTAATTGGTGCACGGAGCGGCCGCGGAGGAAAGGCAGGTTCGGTCTGGTTTTTGTTTTTCTTCCTTTTAAAAGAAATGAGAGACGGCCTGGGAGGGGAAGATCTGTTTGGGTGTTTTCATTTCTGGATATTTTTAAAATTTATTTTTCTCTGGGAGGGAGTTGGCAGGAAAGTCAAAACTTAGGGGAAAGGGGGGCGAGTAATTAGTTTACAGATCCGGATCCGAGTCCGTTCAAAACAACAAAACAACAAAACAACAACAACAACAACTATCTTCGGCAGCTGCGGATCAATACCCAGAGGCTGATCCCTAAGTTAACTCTTTGCATTCCTGCCTGAGCCTAGAATGGGGAAGGTGTCGTCGTCTCTCTGGGAGAGCCCCACAGTTAAGGAAAAAAAAAAACCTCAAACCCCTAATTTTTGAATTGGATTTGCTTCTATTCCCCGCCTGTCAGTTTGTTTTTCTTTGTTTGAGCTTTTGGCGAACCGATTTCTTGCTGTAATAAGTGGCTTTGCTCTCAAAGTTTAGGACTTCCCTTCCGCATTTTCTGCCAGTCGCCTTCCTGGTTGCCCCATCAGATCTGGAGCAGCTGGTATCTTGCCTGGCCGCAGACCAGCCGAGCGGGTGCGCGCACCTCGGTAACCCCTCAGTTTCGATCCCTTCGCTGGAGGCTTCCTCCTAGTTCTCTGGAGCCGGGTCCTCCCGAGGCCGCAGCGGTAGAAGCCCTACACACCCGCTGCAAGATTTCTGTCTTGGTCTGGTTGCAACGACTCTACTCACCTGTCCTCTACTTTCTCGATGGGGTAGCAAGAGAAAAAATTTTTTTTAAAAAAACAAATTCGCGAGAAAACTCTGGGCAGCGGCCTGGGGTCAAAGTTCTCCGAGAGGCTCAAAGGAAGAGCGCCGTTCCTGTGGGTGGTAGGGACCAATCTCCCAGTTGGGCTCTGCCACCCCTTCCTCTGCCCGGTTCGCAGGGACGTGGCGGGCCCGCGGCGCCAAAGCGACTGCGGAGCCTTGGCCTGCAGAGGTCCTCAGCCCGGGAACTGGGCTCGGCCGGAACAGCTGCAGGTTGAGTCCCGCACTGGTAGATCCGTGACGGTCCGTGTCTGGCAGCTGGGCCGGCTTCCCCTTCGCGCGCCCGAGGAGGACCACTAGCCCTGGCAGGTCCGGCGGCCTGGATTAGGCGGCGGCCCTGAGCGCAAAGTCGGCCAGCCCGGCTCGGGAGAAGCGCGCGGCTCCAGCCAGATGGGCCCCTAATGGCACTTATACTGTGCCCCCTGCAGGGAACGACACAAGCCCCGAGAGTTTCCTTTTGCACAACGCGCTGGCCCGAAAACCTAAGCGGATCCGAACCGCCTTCTCCCCGTCCCAGCTTCTAAGGCTGGAACACGCCTTCGAGAAGAATCACTACGTCGTGGGCGCAGAAAGGAAGCAGCTAGCTCACAGCCTCAGCCTTACGGAAACTCAGGTGAGTGCAGCCCAGGAGGAAAGACACCCTCAGGGCACAGGCCCCTCAACCCAGTCCACAGATCCAGGCAGACCACACCCGGCACACTCACCGGTGTGGAGCGCCGAGAAAACCCTCTCGCTCAGCCAAGGACCCTGCACCTAGTTCACTCTGGGGCTCTGGATGTATAACTTTCCAGGTGCCCAGCTTTGTAGAGCTCTAGCAGGGACTGGGAGCTGATTCTCCCTGGGTTCTACAGTGGAACTCTTCCATTGCTCCTTCTACCTGCTGGGCAGGTCTTGCAGCCCCTGGCTAACACACACACACACCTCTGCAGTGTTGGTGAAAATTTTGGTGAGAGTAATCAGTTCAGTACTTGGATCCAGATGAAGGAAAGTGCAGTGGGGTGTCCTGGTTGTCTGGGCCAGAGTCTGGAGAGTGTAGAGAGGGTTATGGGTGAATTCTGAGCAACTCTAGGCCAATGGACTCCCACCCTGGGCCCAGGTACTCCCTTTAAGGGGACTGGGGAGTCCGGAGCTGGAGGCTAGGCTGTGATGTGCCCCCTTGCAATCAGAGAAATGAAGCTGGAAGGCTGCAAAGAGCACCGGACTCAGGGGATAGGCCCTGCTGTGTAGTGGAGCCTTGAAGCAGGCCTGGCTTGGGCTTGTCCCAGGGTGGGAAGGGGACTTAGCGCTACAGTAGATGCTACTGTACTCCAGCCACAAGGCGGGTCAAAGTTGCCAGTAAACAGTAACATTTTCGGGCAGATTAAGTTGTAACACTTTTTCTGGGAAATGCAAAAAGGTCAAGGCTTTTTTGAAAAAACATACCCCCCTCCTCCATCCCTGGAAAAAAATTGAGGAGAGCCTTGTGGGTTTGTGCAGGGCGGGCACAAGGCTCGGCCGGCTGATTTCCCCTGGACAGCCCAGGCGAAGGTGGTCTTTGTCCGCCTGGCTGCCCACGCTGCCTGCAGTCTTTGTGTGAATGTCAAGCCCCGAGCTCACCGACGCGCGCCTTGGGCGAGCGCCGGGGAAGAAATGAACCGTCCTCCTCCTCAATTAGCAAACTCAAAGCAAATTAAACTCAGCCTTGTTCCCGCTCAGCTTTTTCACGGGGCACTTTGGGGGACGAGGGCACTGGGGAGAGCAAGTCGAACTAAGACTTAAAGGAGGCAGTAGTTGGAGACCTCAAGGGCCCAGGAACTTGTGCTGGGCCAGGGTGCTAGGACTGGGATAGTTTGCTGGGATGTGGAAGGTACAGTCGCCACCGGTCTTCCTCACTCTTTGCTCTCTCCTGGGAAGCCTGGCTGGTGTCACTGTTAGTCTTGTTGCTGAATGGAGACCCACCACCCAGCTTCCTGGGGTGGGGGTGGGGCAGGGGGGGATCAATTCGCAGCTGACTCCAACTTCATTGCTCTCTGGACTTCTAGCAGCAGCCCTGGGGAGACCAGGCTGCCAGCCTTGCCTTGGTGGGAAGTGAGGTGGCCCAGTCTGAGATTGACCCTGTCCTATTCTGGGGCTGGACA